CTAAAAGAAAACGTGCAAAAGAGGATCAGAAAGGAGCCAATGACTCAAAAACGCCTGACTTCCATCCAACTTTGTGAGTAATTTTTATTCACAAAGATACATAAAGCATCTCTGGTGCAAAAACAGACTTGGATCCCCGTGTCCAAACATCACAGGACAATAACACCGACATAAACCCTAAATACACACAATGAGTGTTCGGTGGAACATAAAGGGAATCATTGTGTTTGCCAGTCTGTGTTCATTTGCTTCTCTTGTGGTTTCCACCTTGCCTGTGATCCAAGGCTTCCCTGTCTGTTAGTCTGTCCATCTGTCTATCCTAAATCCTCGCAACACACTCTCTCATTGGCCATTGTGCATGCAAGTGTGTATATGTATGTGTGTGTGAGACAGGGGGTCCCAATGTGTGATAATCACAGTGTGCAGGCCTGTCTGGCTTATCACCTACAGTCAGCCCTTCTCCTTCTGCTGTGCATGAAACACACACTAAGAGACACACACACTTGCACGCTCTGATTTGCTTCCCTCCTTTCTTTGCACACACACACACACAACACACACACACACACACACACACACACACACACACACACACACACAAACTGACAAGTACACACATCTTGGCAGTAGAAGAAGTAAACATTCATTTAAATAAAACTTCAGCTTTTTGCTTCTGGCTTTGAACAAAAAGGTTTGCTTGGTGCTGCTTGTGTGTGTGTGTGTGTGTGTGTGTGTGTGTGTGTGTGTGTGTGTGTGTGTGTGTGTGTGTGTGTGCGCGCTGCGCGGCGTGTGTGTGTGTGTGTGTGTGTGTGTGTGTGTGTGTGTGTGTGTGTGTGTGTGTGTGTTGTGTGAAAGCACACAAGCTTGTGCGTTTTGGTACGCTGAAGTTATTTTGGGGGGAAAAGAAGAAAGAATGAGGGGATATGAAATAAGTTGAGAAAAGCAAGCAAGCGAGGGAAGACGGATGGGAAATGAGCGAGGTAAGGAGAGAAAACTGGGGCGGGTTAGAGGAGAGAAAGAAAAGGTGGATGTCGATATAATAAGCGGCTTACAGGCGGTCTCTCATCAACTCATGGGGCAGACATCACTGCTCCCCGCTCTCTCTCTCACTCATTCTCTCTTTCTCTGACTCTCTCTTTCCTCTCGCTCCGGTTCGCGAAGATTAGCTCAAGCAAGCAGGATTTAATAATGCCTATTGATAAAATGTCCAAATATTCTTTTCCCCATTAGAAAAAAAAATCATTCATTCAGACAGTGTGATTTGACAACACACACACACACACACAGAGAGGAGAGAGAGAGACGAGAGAGAGAGAGAGAGAGAGAGAGAGAGAGAGAGAGGAGAGAGGAGAGAGAGAGAGAGAGAGAGAGAGAGAGAGAGAGAGAGAGAGAGAGAGAGAGAGAGAGAGAGAGAGAGAGAGAGAGAGAGAGAGAGAGAGAGAGAGAAGAGAGAGAGAGAGAGAGAGAGAGAGAGAGAGAGAGAGAGAGAGAGAGAGAGAGAGTGAGAGAAGAGAGAGAGAGAGAGAGAGAGAAGAGAGAGAGAGAGAGAGAGAAGAGAGAGAGAGAGAGAGAGAGAGAGAGAGAGCCACAGCAGCTAAACTGTGTAAGAGCGTGTCAAGACACGCGAGGCTGAACCACGGTGACATTTTAAGTTCCATCTGTTCGTTTCTTTTTCAGCAGAGGAGCTCGTCATGCAGCGTGAAAATGTTCACCCTACAGGTCAGCCGTGGTTGTGAGCAGCATGGAGAGCGACGCTGGACCTTATCTCACATTGTTGTTTGTTATGAATTATGAATACACTGTAAATGTTTTCTCCCATGTGACATTTTCCAGATTCGATGCAAAGTCTGGTGTTATTCTTATCGCCAAGCGATTTAAAAGTTCAAGTGATTGCACATGTTAAAGTTCTTGTAAATATTTCTGTCTGGCACACCAGATCTGTTGCACCTGAGTCCCGTTTCTAACTCTCCATCTTTAGAGGCCATCAGACATGTCAAACACGTAGACTCAAGAATTTAAATGAAATTACAGAACATCACTGATCCTGACAAAAAAGAAGAAAATATAACAACTGAGAAAATGTTCTGGAAAACATTAATTTTTCAGTTCTGACTGTTATTTTTAGAAGTCGCTGGCAGATTTTTCACAAATGACTTAAAGGCACACTTGGCAGTTTAGCTTGCTTTTAGCACCCCCTGGTGTTTGTGTGGTCAAACAGAAAATAAATCCTATACTGAAATGTCTCCCCGACCTTCATTTGTTTCTTCAGGAGTGATTCATCACTAAATTAAACAAATCATGACCTAAAACATGCCGGAAATGTGCTGGAAGCAGACTGCTGCGCCAGATGTGTTAGCTCCATTTTTTTGTTCCAACAGGTGGCAGCCTGCCAGTCTGAAGTTGCAAATGCAGTATTCAAGCCATGGAGGGTGGTGGGGGTCTGAGTGACATTTCATTAACCCTTTAAGGCAGCGGTGTCAAACTCAAACTCACACGGGGCCGAAATGAAACTCTGGGACGGAGTGGAGGGCCAAACTTAATATTTTTTGAAAAAGTGACGGCAAATTTGCACATTTCTTTAACATATATGCAATTTAGAACCTTTTAATTTGAAAACAAACTTATTTTTGCATTAACACTGAATGTGGAATAACCAAATTACACACGAGCAAGTCCATTTTAAATTAAACGCATCAGTGGTATTCATTACTTGTGGTATATTCAGCATTTTTTAAATCTATTTAGGATTTATGTTTTCTTGTTGTTAATTCATTTTTCTTATTTTCTATTCTCCTTTTTTTCTCCTGTTATAAGTGTCATCTCTGCTGTGACATCTAGCTTTCCCCACTGAGGAACAATAAAGGGATTTGCTGTTCTATTCATCTATCTGCAGCCTTTCCACTTCCTGTTTACTGTAGGTTAAATCTTTTCTCACGGGCCAACAACAAAATAAAAATATCATTTTATCTTAAATGAAAATGCAACATCTCACCTGTTAACTTTCATGTTTTGGAGCAGAAAAAGAGCATAAAACCAACATATTTAAAGCTCAGTTGCCTCCACTGGTTTACTGTGATGCTCACCTGTTCCAGCCAGATACCTGCATCATGGGGTTGATCTGAGCTGAGGAGGAGACTCCTGTTGTTTTGTTCATCTCCGTCATAATAACGACAACATTAGATGACAACAGGTGCTCACATAGGTTTGTGCTGATGAACATGTCTGAGCAGCTTGACCACGTTGTTGTGAGTTGGGGAGGAAAAATAACAACTACAGCAGCCATAAAGTCATGCTGGTTTGAGCGTGTCGCTGTTCGCTAGAGTTATATCAGCTCTGTCTGGACGTTAGTTGGAAAACTTTCTCTTTCAGTCGTGAACACATTACTGAGCGGTTAAAATCTCCGTTTCTGGGCTTCAACGTCGGCAAATAGCTGAGTGAACTTGGCACTGAGTGATAGGAGTGTTTAGTTTGTCCGAGACAGCAGAGCTGCAGTCACCGGCAGCAGACGCCGGAAAAAATGCAAAGGAGGGGGTGGTTCGGCTCCACGCTAACGCCGCAAAGCATCATGGGAGTTGTAGTCTTTGCGGTAAAATCAGCCAGCGGGTCAGTTTTAATATATTTTTGATATTTATCTCGTGGGCCACATAAAAATGCTCCGTGGGCCTCGAGTCTGGCACATGTGCTTTAAAGGATCATTTTAGCACATGCTAGCTCAAGAAAAAGATTTAAAAATATGAAAAAGTTGCAAAGTATGTCTTTAAACAACCATCTTCCATTGAACTGTGGTTTTGTATTAAATTATAATAAATGTAAATTTTTAAGCTATTTATATGTAATTCAAAATATTATGATAAGCTGAACAAAGATTTAGAAAACAGATTCAGAAATGAAATAAAACTGTGTTGGTTTGTAACTCATGTGGATTCATCCTGATTCCCGTTTCAGTCCCAGCCTCTTCTCTTCTGATTGTGTGCTCACATGTAACATAATTGCATCGGAGCAGACATCTTTGCTCTGTGAAATCACAGTTCAGCTCCTCCCCTGCACGCCAACAGATGACACTTGACATGCAGGGTCCCCCTGAAACATCTAGAGGAGACGAACAGTAGAGGGTGGTAATGTAACAGCTAAATGGGTGTGATGCGCCACAGGCTGCTGGGGACTTCGTCGTCATCCTCTTAAAACATCTTATGCCCTTCTCTCAGGGACGTCTACACACACTGTCCATGTGAAGCAGCTTGTGATTTTAAAGCAGTAAACCCCAGATTTATGAGTTTAGCTCCATCACAATAATGTTAAAAGTTTCTGTTTCTGGTCTTAGATTGATGATCGCACTCTCTCTCTCTCTGTGTGTGTGTGTGTGTGTGTGTGTGTGTGTGTGTGTGTGTGTGTGTGTGTGTGTGTGTGTGTGTGTGTGTGTGTGTGTGTGTGTGTGTGTGTGACCAAGACAACTCTAAGTAATAAGGATTTGTAAAGCATATGTGAATCTGATGGTTAATCCTCAACATCAATAACATTAATAGCTCAGAGTGATAAAAACTGTGCGGCTGAAAGTGTGATAAGTATTTAGAGTATTCATGTGTGTATGTGTGAGTGTGTGTGAGTTTTCCAGGTTGAGAAGCACTGTAGGAAATGAAAGGATCAAGAGTAGAGAGCAGATTACTCTTCCTGTGAATAATGAAATTATGTCTCACCTTCAATTACTTGATGAGGAAAGGAAATTGTGTGTGTGTGTGTGTGTGTGTGTGTGTGTGTGTGTGTGTGTGTGTGTGTGTGTGTGTGTGTGTGTGTGTGTGTGTGTGTGTGTGTGCACATGTATCTGTGTTTGGTATAACTGTCGGTCCCATCAACTACACCGTGTCAGCAGTGTTAACCTGAAAACCATATTGTACAGCCCAGAAGCATCAACTGTGAACCATAACAGATTGCTTCTGTGCCTCATTTTGAACACTTTTGAAAGTGTAATTATGTCATTAATAAGCATTTATAAACACAATAAA